TGCCACACATATAGTAGACATTCACTTTAACAGTTCATTCTTTTTCTTCTTTTTTTCCAGTGTCATCTTCCCCTTAGCCTATAAATACAAATCTGTCCTGTTTAAAAAAAAAAAAACAAACACATAAACTTCCTCCAAATACCATCCTTTGGGTTTTTTTTTTTTCCTTTGACAGCCAACTTTAAAAAGGCCATACTTCTTATTCCTTACCACCCATTCGGGATTTAACAAAGTCTTTTTTTGACCTTTCTTTAATACTTCTTTTTGTTAACTGTCTCCTGAAGAACTTCTCTTAATTTGATCCATGATGCAAGAACTGTTTACAGTTCTCTAACCAATTCTCTGGCTGGCTGGTGCTCTTCCTCTTTGGGAGTGCCATGTTTGCTTGTGCGGGTTTTGTGCTGCACAGCTCTTGGGCATCTTCCACGTTGTAATCTATGTGAAAGGCCCTCCTTGGTACTGTGCGGTGTACAGCTACACTGTCTATATGCAGCAGCTTTGCTCACAACTTAAATGCATTGGTAATTGCACAGATTTCCATCTGATGACCTCTTCTTTCATACCATAATAGGTTCTCAAAGTCAGTGGATGGACTGTATGCTAATTCTGTTCCTCAGCTCGAACTGACAGAAATAGGCCATTCTATTTTTCTAGCCCAGAACGCTCTTCTGGGTTCCAGACTTTTTCTAAATGTCATGTAGGATTTGCCATGTAAGATTCAACTAAAATCTTTTTTACCTTACCTTCTCCCGTTCCCTCAACCTAATTTTGAATCCATATCCTGTATACCCTATTTCAGGCCATCTTGAGTTCCTCCTTCAGCCTCATTCTTTTTTCATCTAATTAGTTAGCAGTCTTGCAGATGCTACCTCCTAAACCTGAAGTTTTAAAATATGTTGATCTTGGTACCCCTTTATATTCATAAAAATTATTTTTTAAAGATTTATTTGAGACATGGAGAGAGACACATTCTTAAAAATTATTAAGGACCCAAAGAACTTCTTTTATGTGGATTAGAAATCAAAAATAAATTTTTAAATATTTGTTTATAATAATACTAAAACCATTATATTTTGACATAAATAATATTTTAATGAAAAATAACCTTCAAAAACAAATTGTTTTACATTTTTGAAATTTCTTTATTATCTGACTAAACAGAAGACAGCTAAATTCTCATATGTGTTTCTGCATTCAGTTTATTGTGATGTATTGTTTGGATTGAAGTGCTTAAAGAAAACTCCGTTTCACACAGATACACAGTTAGAACACAGAGAGGTAATTTCAGGTAATTGATAGCACATCAGAACTTGACCAGTGGTGTTTTAATGATGAAAATTTAATTGCAGTGTGGAATCTGAAACCACGCCAATGAACTTTTAATACTATTAAAAGTTAAACTATTAAAAGTTAAAATCTATCATGTGTAACTTGATGCAGTTGGAAAATATTGATTTACTGAGTTATGCAGATATTCCAAATTTTGACATATTTCATCATACAATATTTTTTAATCACATTTGTTAAAACATCACCAATCTTATGAGGAAAGTCTTTAAGTAGTGGGAAGCTATCGAGCCTCACATTGGCAAAGTCAAGTTTTCCAGAATTCTGTTTTTTGTTTGATCACGTGAATGTTATCATTGGCAACAAATACTTTCAGTGTTTTTCCTTGAAGTTACAGCTCCTTCATTGATTTCTGAGGTGATGTCTGCCAGACAGCGTTTCATGTGGAAGAGTGGTGCAGTGAGAAGAGGAGCTAGTTCTGCTTGAAATTCGAATAATTACACACAAGTCTTCTTCCTCAGGACAATCATGTTACTTCAGTATAGAACGGATGTGCTTTATGCACACTTGCCAGTTCGTCACATACTGTTAAAAAGAAGTGTATTGAAGGGTCAAGATTTAATAAAATTAATGTTTTTTATCTTTTCAACATGGATACTCTTAAGTGAAACTGTTTTCCACTGCAAGGAGGCAGTGAAGAATACAATGACTCTAGTATATAATTTGGTGCTGCTGCTTTAACTCATGCTAAGGTGTCAGCATTGTTACCCACCATTGTTTTTGCAGTATCATTGCAAATATCCACCCAGTGAAAAAGGCCAAATAACACTTAAGTAACGCCTTTATATTATTATGAAAATGGTTTTGACCTCATAGATGGGCATGTTGAAAGAATCGTGGAGCCCTCTAAGGGTCCATTGACTGTTCTTTGAGAACCACTCCCTAAACATCCAAGACATGTTGCCCTTGCCTACCCTTGTCTGTGATCTTTGCCCCAACCCTTATTAATTTCAGTCTCCTAAATGATCTCTTAGTCTCCTTTCTCTTTTTCAAGAATTACCTTTCTAGAACACAAATCTGATTATGTAGATACCCTTTTAAACTCTTTCAACAGGGGTGCCTGGGTAGCTCAGTCATTAAGCGTCTGCCTTCGGCTCAAGTCATGATCCCAGGGTCCTGGGGTCGGCCCACATCAGGCTCCCTGCTCAGTGGGAAGCCTGCTTCTCCCTCTCCCCCTCCCCCTGCTTGTGCTTCCTCTCTTGCTGTGTCTCTCGCTGTGTCTTTCTCTGTCAAATAAATAAAATCTTTTTAAAAAATAAAAAATAAAAATAAACTCTTTTCAACATGCCCAGCACAATGGAATAAGATCTAATAAATTCATTTATAGAACATAAAACTCCTTTATTATCTTGCCTACCTTATTAACTTCTGTTCCTGTCACTACATACTTCTACTCTTTAAGCCGAACTGAATTTATTGATAATTCCCTAAACACGTCATCGACACTACAGTCCCATACATTCGCATGTGCTGTTCTTTCCACCAGGAATACTCTCACTTTTAGTTTCCACCTATCCCTCCAACTTTGCACATCATTTTAAATCACCTCATGTGACTACCCACAAAATTTTACATTTTGTTAGAGTTTTAAAATTTCTATATTTAATTTCTATATTTCTATATATAAAATTTCGACTGCTTTATAGTTATTTTGCTTATGTGTTATTTTCTGCTGTTAGATTGTGAGCCGTTTGATGTCAGGAACTGTCTGTCCTTGTATTCCTAGTACTTAACAAGGGCAAGGTATATAGTAGTCATTTAATAAATGTTTGAGTATTCCAATGAGTTTCATAGAAACTTCTAATACTATCCTTGGATAGAGTTGCTAATGAATAGTAAAAAGGCTGCACGTGGGCAGAAAAAGGAAAAATATGTATATATGTGCTTCAGCCCAATGAATCTTTATTTCTATAAATTTGACTATAATTAAAATTCAAGAGAACATTTTAGTTTATTTCTGTTTCTGAAAAGTTGAAGTGAATTAAATTGAAAAATTAACCTCCTTAATTCATTATAACTCCATCTCTAATAAATTTGGGGGGTTTTTCCTTTGATAATTGAGCATTCTTAACATGAAGGCAAAAATGCCAGGATACTTCTGTATTTCTATTAATATTTAAAAACTAGTACCTTTTAAAATATTAAGATAACCTTTTAAATGTGTCCTCTACGTTGTTTTATATTAAAACTTCGTTGATTATGTCTTATGTTTTGAACTTAGTACACTAAAATAATATGTTATAAGGTCTTCTATCAGAAAGGCATCTAAATAGAGGTCTTACTTAGTGTAATCTACCTATATACAACCTGTATCAACAAAAAGAAACTCCTTTAAAATAAAAATTTTAGGGCGCCTGGGTGGCTCAGTCAGTTGAGCGTCTGCCTTCAGCTCAGGTCATGATCCCAGGGTCCTGGGATCGAGCCCCGCAATGGGCTCCCTGCTTAGTGGGAAGCCTGCTTCTCCCTCCTCCACTCCCCCTGCTTGTGTTCCCTCTCTTGCCATGTCTCTCTCTGTCAAATAAATAAAAATTTTAAAAATCTTAAAAAAAATTTTTTACCAAGATTTTATAATGTATAAAACTTTCAAAAGTTAAGTAAAAATTTTTATGTGTAAGAAATGTTATTGCCCACCATGTATTCTGCGTAATGTATTGCAAGTATATAGATATGGTGAAATCTAAATCACCTAAAATTTGTAGACTTCAAGCAGATTTTGTAGATTACACTTTCAATCCCGTTGACCATTTATTTCACTGCTCATTAGCACCTGATTAAAGGAAATAAAATAATCTTTTAAAACCAATCACTTTGGGCCTCACTAATTTAGAATTTATGATGAATGAGATACTAGACTGACAGCTTTTTATAGCCCATGGGCTAGATATTGCCTAGTAAATTAAAATTGTTTACAAAATTAAATCTTTAAGAGAGCTGATAAGTATTTTAAACTAATCATTCCTATGTAATGAGTTTGTTAATTATAAATCATGCCCATAAAGCATATTGGTTGATTAAAAGCCATTAGTAATTGAAATTTCTCCAAAAAGATTCTGAATCAGTGAGGTGAGTAATATATGGTCAGATGTAGGTCTTTTCAGTTTTTGCATTGATAATTTGGCCAAAAATTACTTCTCGGGATTATGTTTTGAATTCTTTTATGCTATTGTATCCCTATTGCTTTACATTTTAAAGAATTGGTAAATCCTTGGATCTCTGTGTCAGTGTTGTGTATAAGTAGAATGTGATGGTACCTACTGAGATACAAATTGGATTTCCTTTACATGCTTCCTTAAAAAATTGATATTTTAATTCCACTGATACAAGGAAATTATTGTTTGTAAAACATTGAAAATGGTTACCTGAACTCAGAAATGGATGTATTGAGTCCGAAGATTTATAGGAATAATAAATACCAAGTTGTATATTTAATTTGATAAATTTCTTTTGAAAATAATTCCCTTTTGTACCATTATTCTTTATATGAAAAAATACATAGGAAATAGAAAAACAAGGATATATAGTGATTTTGCTCATGAATCTGTTTTCCAGCATTCATTTACTACATACATTGTCATCTGTTCTTTTCTTTATTTCATAATTAATTTCAAAATTCAGCATTTTTTATCTAATTTAACATTTTCATATTTTTAAAGGTCCCCAGGTGCATCCAATTTTTCAGCTTTACCAAAGATCTCTCCTTCATCTCTATCAAATAATTATAACAACATCAACAACAGAAAGTAAGCACTGAATCTTAAAAACTCTTTGTTTAATTGATCGCCCTATTGTGGTTTCAAAAATCTCTTGTATCTAAAACATAGGATAAAAGTCTTAATGCATTAAAATTGAATTTTCTTTTAAATTACTGATCAGTTCTTCTAGGAGTAACTTTACAAGAAAGAAAGCACAGTTATAAACTTCTTGATTTAATACATATACTACAATAATCCACTAAAAGAAAAATAAAGTACTTTCAGAATTTTACTTTTTAAACACTATTGAAAATATATACAGAAGTCTATTAGAACTCAGTTTTTTAGTAAGAGTGTAAATTTCAGATGTCATTTGAGAGCTAGATATATAATCACCTATAATCTGTAGTATTTTTTTTAGAGTATATATCAGTGATTCTCACCTGGAAAGCATACACAAATTTTTATGTTTTATCAAAAAGGCAATCACTTTTTCTTTAAAAAGTTTAGAGAAACAATTTCCTTGCCCCATCATGAATCAGAATCTCAGAATTTATGAAAGTTACATGAAAGTGTATGCTATATTGCCATAAGAAAAAAGTTTAAAAATCACTTGGGCTTCACTATAATGTCTGACATGGGTATATTACCTTGAAGGTACATTACCTTGTCATGGTTTGTTGTTTTTTTTTTTATAGAAAAGGATAAAAAGAAAGCTTTTATTATTTGTGATTAGTCCAGTCAAATCAGGGGAAGAACTTTAATCTAGAGATGATTATCTTTTTATTATTTCTTGAATATATACATTACATTGTTGTTTAATTTTTAGGTTAACTCTATGTAGTTAAATATTTGCACTACTTCTCCAGTTCATAAATGGCATCTGATTTCCTAAAGAGTAAATTTGGAGAGACTAAGGCTATTTGTGAAATAATTTTTAAAATAACATCATTAATTGCATTTGTAGGTTTAGTTAATTTTCCCTTAAAATTCATTTCTGGTGTGGAGAGAGGGCTTGACAAAATAATTTTTAATGTACACCTAGATTATAAATATATAAGAACAGCCGAAATAATTTTGGAAAGGAAAATGAGAAGGATTAATCCTACCAAATATCACAACCTGTTGTAAAGATAGTAAGAATTCAAACAGCATAGTAGTGACCCAAGAATACATCGACAGATCAGTGAAATGGAAAAGACAGTCCAGAAACAGCCCTTTATACATAAGATCAGAAAACACTGTAGACTAATGGAGAATGAGCAGATTATCCAAGAAATTTTGTTGGGAAAATTGGATTACTATTGAGAATTTCTCTTTAAAACTTTATATTAAATTGACTTTTTAATTGTTAGGCATACAAAAATGAAAAGGCAAATAAATGGAAAAAAATACTTGCTACAAATGACAAAGGATAAATATTCCTAATATATCAAAGTCATAAAGATCAGTGAGAAATTTTCTAAGACAAGTAGACAAATGGGCAAATGATACAGCAGGCAATAAAAGCAAAATAATTAAAATATATAAACATTTTAAATACTAAAAATTCACAACTAACTACAGATGTGTAAATTAAAACCATAAAAACTCCATCCACTTCTCTCCACTTCAGTCTCACTGGTAATGATACTTATTCTTGCAAGGGTTTCGTTTGAGTGGTTGGAGTATTAGTCCAACTTTTTAGAAAAGAATTTACCATGTGTGTCAAGATTTAAAACATTAATTGCCTTATTTTAATAATTTATAAAAAGACATGTGTATCATAGTGTAATAACATTACATTATCGTGTAATAGTGAAATATCAAAGATGTTATGAATATCCAAACTTGGAATGTAGTATGTTCCTTACTACTTAAAAATGTATGTCCACAGGCAAAAAAGTGAAAGGAAATACCCCTATAATCTGGTTTGTATTTTATATGGTATCTTTTAATTAAATTCATCAAAAGTAATTTTTTCATGGGAGATAAAATACTTCTTGTGTTTCTACCAGTTGCAGATGCTCCCACATTTACTATAAAAGAATTCAGTTCCTGGTATAACACATATTTATAGTTATTCTTCGGAGAAATTTTTAACATTGTATGTAGACTGCATTGAACATAGACTGTATTGGGACCTTTTGACTGGAGTCGTCATATTAGTATATGTGGTCTGGTGTGTTTCTGTTTCTGTCTTAATTTCCCTCCCATAGTAAAAATATGATGGTATAATCGGATCTTAAAACCTCTGGCTGCAGAAGATACTGGGAAAGGAATTGAAGTATTTTCTTAAGTTTGAAATATGTTTAATGATTCTACTTCTATGGCTAGATTATATTTTTAGCTATTTATATTTGTTTATTTTAGGCACTAAAATAGTCCTTTCATAATAGGAAATTTTTATAGCCAACAGCTACTGAAGTACCACCATGCTCAAAAGTAAAGCTTTAAAAGTAAAGCTTACTTTATTATAAAATGCTCCTAGAAGTCTTAACTGTGTTTTTTACAAAAAAAAAAAACAAAAACAAAGCCTGCAATGTTAGACTTGTGCGCATGGAAGTAATTAAGGTACATCATTATTGTAGTTTAAAAGTTGTACATGATAAGACATATTTTGTTTTAACTGTATGTTTTTACTGAATGATCTGTTCCCCATCCCAAGGCAAGCATGAATAAAATTAGGTTCAATGTAAATAAATAAATAAATAAATAAATAAATAAAAGTAAAGCTTAACTTTCTTAGTAAAGAACAAAATTTAAACATTTGTAAAATGGAAAGTTTTTTAATTTGAATTTGAATTAACACTAATTATTTTGAATTTGAATTAATATTTGGATTAATATTATAATAAATTATTTCACATAAAATTTATTTCTTTCCATTCAACTTGTAGAAATAAGTGGGAGTTTGAGACTTATTGTGGAAGTAGCATAGTTTCTTTAAAAGTATGTAAAATGGGTAATGACCTTTTTTAGATTAAGTGCACTTTTGAAACATCATGTAAATGGAAATATTCTACAAGTGTCAAAGTATATACTAAAATCAGTAGTTATGACTTATAAGTTATATGAAATTATCTACAAATTCAAGACTTGAATTAAACTGATACATTACTAAGATAAAAAGTTTTCACTTCCAGAAATAAGGATATTAGTCATAAAGATAATAACAAAGTATATTTAGAATTATTTCATATAAATTTAATAAAGCTTTTATTAAAGACTAATATTATGAAGAATCAGTTGTTTACTCTGATGTAGTAATTTTACCTGCTAGTCAATACAGTATTTGTTTTTGCCTCAAATTATAATTTAAATTCATTTTTAATATGCGCCAGTTTCTTTCTCCTTTTGTTCCCTGCATTTTTCTGTCTTGCTACATTTGCTTTGATATAACACTGCCTTTAAAAAATCTTTTTTAATGTATGTGTTTTCGCAACTCTTGGCATTCCACATCAGAGCACATTTCTATTTTTATGTTAATTAATTTAAAGCTCTTTTATTTGAAATGGAAATGACTCCCTGTAAGAGATTAAACTATGAAAAAGAACTTGATTTTGGAGACTGCCAGAGCTAGCCAGCCATATGGCTCTTTGCAAGTTACTTGCTGAAAGCATCATTCATTAACTGCAAAATGAGCAAAATTATAGTTATGAGGATTAAATTATAGATTTATAATACTTATAATGTCAAATATAAGTGCTAATTGAAAAGTCAATCTGAAATTTACCAAAAAATAAGTTACTTTGATTTTCAATGTATCTTCATTTAGGGTGATAGTTTATAATACAGAATTAATGTAGTATAATACTAAAATTCTCATTAAGATTACAGGCATACTTATTTATTTTTGCAAAATAGCACAGCCGTAGAGGATAAGGACTAGCTTGCCATCTTTAGGAAAAAAATAGTCATAGGCCTAGGTTTCCCTGTACCTTGCTGAAGTGTTTTAAGAACTCCTGGTTTTGGTATTTTCCATTACTTACTTTAATATTTGAATTAGGAAGCACATAACGTGGGTTACAAGTGGCCAATCAATAGAGTATTAAAATATTTTAAATTTATCAGTTTTTATTATTATCATTGAGCATCTAGATTGTCTCAGTCTTTGGGCAAGGCTTATATTTACTTTGTCACTTAAACTGAAATGTAGATATCCTCTAAGATTCAAATTTTAAAAGACAAACTGCTTTTGCAAGTAAGTTTTTGTTCATTTCTCAGTAAATAAAAATCCCTATCCCAGCAAATTCCATCCTGTTGCCACTAAGAAGAGAAGAGCTTCCAGCATCTATTTGTGTTACTAGTGGCAGAGACAGATATCTGAATATGTACTTAAGGAATAAGCATGTAAATGTGCTTTTTTAGTCTTTTCACTTTGTGTGTGTGTGTGTGTGTGTGTGTGTGTGTGTGTGTGTGTGTGTCTAGGCATGAGTATGCATTTGAACATAGTGTACTCTGTTCAAATTTTATTATAATTTTATATCTGGAATTATGTGTGGGTTTGTTTTTTTGTGTGTGTGGCGAATGGGTAGGAAATGCAGGCCTTCCATTTTTGTATATAGAGACCTTGATTTTTAGCACTTCTTATAGGAATAAAAGAAAAACAGGATTTAGCTTTTTGTTACATGTCCTCAAAGTTAGATTCGAAAATCCAGTCATCAATCACTGAGTGAACATATATTGAATTGCTAATAGGTGTCTTGCATTTTAGTCGTTATTGGGAATATAAAATATGAATCGTAAGGTTAATGATCTGGATCATATACTGCTTATAAGAACTATGATTATTCAGAACCTGGCAGAAACAATGAACAGTCAGGCCTCTGTGGCCTAAGTAACTTGGGAAATACGTGTTTCATGAACTCAGCTATTCAGGTAGGTCTTTCCAAAGTGAAACTCACATGTTTCATGGAAATCAGCAATAAAAGAAGAGTAGAGTTTTACATATCAGAACAAAACAAAACAAAGGATGCTTGAGCCTATTTTTTGCTTTATACTTTTTTTTTTTTTTTTTTTTAGTATCAGGAGGTTTTGCTTCTTTGAGTCTGGGAACTGGTCTTTTTGTTTACGTTTGGGGTATGTTCTTAAAAATGTAAAAATATTATTAGGTTAGCATTGTATGTGTAGTTTTGGATTATTGTAGTTCTGTTTTACCTGTGTAGTTTGTTGAGGGTGTGTGTGTGTGTGTTTACTAAAGGCTTTGTTATAACTGGCAGTAGTACAATTCTCTTAAACTGTTAAAATAATAAAGTGAAAGTATAGAAGCTACAATAGAAAGTATTTGAAATTATAAGTAAAAAATATTTTTAAAAAAGAATACCAGGAATAAATTGTAGCCAATTGAGATTATCAGGGTTACTAATTAATCATGTTTATTTGTAACACTGTATTCTTTTATTTGAATCGTGATTTGCTTTTAGCATGACCTTGATTCTCATTCAGGTTTGTTCTCATGAATTAAAAAAATGATTGAAAATACGGTTTTGAATTATATCTGAACTGTCTATTGTAAATATTTTATTATAAGATAACCTATTAAAAATTAAGGAAGAATCCATCCTTTTCCACAAAATTATTTTTTTATTATATGTAGAAAGAAAGAGGGACAATTTAACTTATTGATTAACTAAAATTACTCTGATCTCGAAGGTTGAAAATTATATAGCTTTTTTTAAGATTAATATTTATAATGCTGATAGTCCAGATTATCCTAAGGTTATATTCATCTAGGTAAAAAACTACATTTTCTAACAAACTGGAAGAAAGAAAAGGCAAATACTGGAATGTACTTGCTTAGAATCATTTCATTTTTGCAGCCCTGATCACCCCAGACTTTTTTTTGCATTTGAATACTAGATTTTGCTGGTCTAGCATAGAAACTATAAATAGAATCTTCAATGCATCACACCAGTGATGTCACAGAGGCCTTGGAAATCTCTGCTCTCACCTGTAACTAAAGTACAACTCCTCCTGTTTCTACTGTTCTCATTCTGTTACAGTAGCAGGATGTAAAAGGGACATAAATGAGATGATTTATTGCTGCGGGTGGTGTTTAAAATCTGAGTGTTTTAAATTTGATGGAGCAGTGAAGAATGGAGCGAGCTGTGGAGCTGCTCCAGCTAATCAAGGGTAGAAAGATATAATAGTGGTTTGTATTGGTTGGTGTGGCATATGTATGCAGTGATTTTGTTGATTGGATGAGAAGTATCAAGGGGTTATTTTGATTTAGGTTCATGTCTTTAAAAGTACATGTTAATTTTTTTAATAAAAAAATTTAATGACTGACCACCTATCTCAAATTGGTTTGAAGTACTCTGCTCATATAACTATATTGTAATAATTGGCTGCATTATGAAATATATTCTTTGTTTTCTTCCAGTGTGAAAAACTCAAATTATTGTCTCCCATCATATACTGCTTATAAGAACTATGATTATTCAGAACCTGGCAGAAACAATGAACAGCCAGGCCTCTGTGGCCTAAGTAACTTGGGAAATACATGTTTCATGAACTCAGCTATTCAGGTAGGTCTTTCCACAGTGAAACTCATATGTTTCATGGAAATCAGCAATAAAAGAAGAATAGAGTTTTACATATCAGAACATGAGTATTATATATGTTTTGAGAGTTTCTGTTTTCATGGAAGATTTAAACATGCATGTTTGAGTCATTCATTCTAGTGCTAGTAGAATATCGATATTATCAAGTTCCTCAATTAGGTGGCATATGATTGATTACCACATGGTAGAAGATTAACTATCACTTTATGCAAAAAATATAATTTCAAACAGAAAACCTAGGCTCTCTGAAAAGAAAAACCGAGTGAGATCATTCCTTTATATTTTCAGTAGAACTGTCATGGGTTTTTGGACATTGGTGGGAATGTTAGAGAATAAATCTTTCATGGTCACCAGTTCTCTAACTCCAAATAAATTTATTTTTAAATCTTTTTTTTTTTAACCTTAATGTGAAATTAAGATTTTTTTTTAATGAGAAAATTTTATGAACTTTCTTTTGCATACATATTTTAACAAATCTTACTTTCCCTTAAAGATCTTTTTAATTTGGGGATATAATTGATCATTGCCCCTTTTTTCCCTTTGTCTCTCCATGGAGCTTCCCTTTTCCTCCTGCTCTGTCTATACCCTCTTGAAGCTTGTTGAATATTTATGTCTTTGATCGACTTTGAAGTAATGAGATCTATATGTTTTTTTAATATCACTGTCACTAATTATAAAATTAGAGATGGTTATTTCATTTCCCTTTTACAAATAGAATTCTGCATTTCAAAAAGCCCCAAATAATGGTATGCTATTTTTGATACTTCAGTTTTAACCTTTTGGGGGGGTTGGGTTTTTTTGCAAATTCTGAAATTTTATTTTTAAATCTGTAATTTTCTTTTCTCAATTCATATTTTAATACTGAATCTCTAATGCCTAGGAGGCATCCTCCAGAGATAATAGATTAAATACAGAGTATAGATTAATTAAGAACATTATTATAACTTTTTCACTATCTGAGAATAGTATAGGACTCTTTAACCATCCAAAATCCAAAATTCTAAATAATGCCTTTTGTACATTGGCATTAATACATTTGTATCCTAAATTAACCATTGTCTTTACAGTATTTTTTGGAAAATTAGAATTTAATTTTCAAAATTGTCTAGACCAGGAATTGGCAATCTTTTAGAAATGCGTAGGGGACATAATTACTTAATTTCTGATTTCTTGGTTTAAAGTTGATCCACTCAGAAAATAGCCTTTCTGTTCCAGCAGATACTGTGTAGGGTTAATAAACTCTTCCTTTAAACCTTTGATGATTAATATTATTTATGCTTTAATGTGAATTACTTAATTCAAAATTATTTTTCTAGGATCCTAGTGCTAGTTAAATAAACAATTTTTAAAATTTTTTATCTTTATTTTTCTGGGAGAGGAGAAAAGGAACTCATCTGAGAAGAGCAAGCCAAAACATACTATGATTCTGGCAGCTATTTAGATATCAGGGTAAAGTGTGTGGGTGCTGAGCTTTCAGAGATAGGTACAGGCCAGACAGATTGTAATTTTATTTGGAAATCTATGGGACTATTCTACCTGACCACTGAAAATCATCTGTAGTACCATCTCTGGAAAGTGTTTTATATAAATGGTGGTTACATCAGTACCAGAAAACTCTTCTTAAATCACCAAGTCATATTAATTTTTAGGTAACTCCTGTCCTGGCACTGCCAAAATTATTTTGGTTCTAGACGCTTGATAAAGCTTGAGAGGTTTTGTTTTGTTCTGTTTTGTTTTTAATCTAAAACCAACCTTGGTGTTTTCTTATAAGGATTAAGAAAATACTTTAACAGCCTAGGCATTAAAAATTTGAGCTGGTCAGAAGAAAACAAGAGTTAATGTTCATGCTAATCATTCAGAAGCAGCTCTGGCTTTCATTCAAACTGAATTCCTTCTAAAGGATTATTACGTTCTAGTTTCCTGTGCCTTTAATACAGTCTTATTTAGTGTTTTGTCTCCAGATGGTTAACTATAATTTCTTAAAAATGAGTATTAAAATTAAATCTTCTGATCACTTCTGTTGAGCTGGATTTGGCATTTGTTGAACTTTCTTGTATATGTTTAAGGTATCAGAAACTTCATTCTATTAGTTATTGCCTCACTTCAAAACAGTTTTATTACAATAAATTTGTAAATCTAATGCTGACCCTCTCTTAATATATATCGCCTTCACATGTTCCATTTCAACTGAAATTAGAGCCATAAGAGGGAGGTTTGTTAGCCAGGAGGGTGATAGTTTGTTACTTTCTGGTAATAATCATAAAGTAAGAAAAATTTTAGATGAAAACTTCAGGGGTTTTTTAAGCAGTGGATATTATTTCATGTCTGTGTCTTGGCTGGAAACTGTACTTTCGCTAAAATCTCCAATCACTTTGGGCAAGAGAAAAAAACTGAGTTTTTATTTTTGCTACTTTTGACTTTTAATTCAAATCCACAATGAAAAAAGCTATTACTTCAGTTTTATTTTCTTAAAGTTTCTATGATTTTTGATTGATTTAGATGTTCACTCTGAAGCTGAAAACTCACCATTAAAGGGAATACAAAATGATTTCGGTAGCCTTTATCCCTGTTTCATGAACATGCATGTAAGTTGTTAGGTCCACAGATGAAAGAGGTTAAAGATAACTAACAGAGTAGATTTTTTCAAAATAATTTTTTTAGATAGTCTCCTCAATTATCCTTTTTTTTTAAGTTTCCTTGTAACTTCTGTGAAACTGAAGAGAATTCATGAACTTCAGAAAATATTTCTACTGACAATTTGAATTTCAGTGTGATTTCTTGTATTCAATAATCCTAAAAAAATACATAGATATTTAGTACCTCGGGCAGTATGATTATTGATATATCTAAAGAAATATGTGTAGGAAGCATACCTACTTTTTGTATGTGAGAATGGATTATGCTTATTAACCCATCAGTAGCCTTGAGGTAATGAAACCTTTTGATTGCTTATGGTTAAAAACTAAGTGGCACCAATCTGAGTGTGATTTTAATATTATTAGTTACATTAGTTTAATATTATTAGTTACATGGCACTGTCATCAAAAATGTGAATATTTGTATTCAAGGTTTTCTCTGATGTAATGGTATGAATGAATATTAAATATTTTTGATGAGAATAGGTACTGCCATATAGTTTTAATTTATTAAGCTAATATTTATTGAATATGAAACATATGAGAAACTTTGGAAATAGATCCTGACCTCATGAGGATTATAGTCTAGATAATTGTGATTTTCACACTTTTTGCCTTTTAGTATGAGAATCTTTTTTTTTTAATTATTACTATGAAAAGTTTAATTTTATCCTCAATATTTAAACAGATGTAGTGAAGTCGTTTTGGTTGGGTAAAGGGTGTAGAGTCCCATCGGCCTTCTCTTACTTTTCCTTAATGGCCCCAGAAGCATTCTCATGGGATCCAAGGACTCTAAGGAACAGTCTAAAAACTATGATATAGGAAGAAAAAAAAGAACACATTAAAAATTAATAATACAGATTAGGAGCACTGGTTATGGAGTTACACTGCTTGGATTGAAAACATGTCTCTCTTATTTATTATCTGTGTTACCCTATATAAGTTATTTCCACAATTCATTTTTCTCACCAGATGAGGAAAATATTAGGACCCATATTTCATGGGGATTAAATGAGTTGAAGAATATAAAGTAACTAAAACATCATAAATGAATAGGCAGTAGGTTGGTACTTTGTTTTGTTTCAATTCAACGGGCTAAGCAGAGTAACTGGAAAAAGTCTACTTTTGATAACCCCTCTATTTGTTCTCCTTTCCTACAAGTCTCATTTCACCTAGTGAATGAAGAAAGAATTGATTGTATTTTTAACTCTTTTTCACTTAGTATTATTGCAGTAATGGTATTTATCATCTCCATTTTTGAACAGTGTTAGTTTCCTCTCCCTAGGCAAACCAGTAGGCAAGTGTTTGTGCATATTCAGTCTTCAGAGAATTCAAAAATCATGATTTCAGGTTACCCCTGGCCTCGGCCTCCTGAGTAGTTATGATTGCAGACACCACCATGTCCCAGTGGTACAAATAAGTTAACAAAATAGTTTTCTAATGCCCTAAATCTTTGAGAGAATGTCTAGTTTTAAAATTTCGCATTATTGGAGGTAATTTTAATTAGCATCAGTTGAGTAGATTGAGGAGCACTCCAACCCTTGTCTTTTTCATTGTCAAGGCCTAGGAGGCTCATGATTGGCTTCCTGGAAGAAGCAACTCTGCAGATGGATTTGAAGCAGGGGAGTGATATGGTCTTTTCCACTGGAAAGCAGCATGGCGTAAGATGGTTGTTTTCAAACTCTTTATTTGGAAGTAATAGGGCTTCTTACTCTAGGAAGTCATTGAAAAAAATGATAGTAATCAAGAATCTGTTCATTATTCCTGTCATACAGTGTACAATCAGTTGGGATTCCAAGCATTTTTAAAGTCAACTTTTTTTTAATGATCTGTTGGGTTAGGAAAAAATCTATTCAGTAAATTCAAAAGGATGCTAAAGCTTAAAGCTTTTTTAAAAAATTTAGAATGAGTAATACTACACAGAAAACATTTTTTTAAGAAACTAAATTCTTATTGTAAAACAGTGGAAAAGTCATTACTGAAGCTCTTATTTCTATGTTGTAGTACTTTATAGCTTTGCATATGATTAAATTTAATGCTGTTCTGCTGTCACCCTGAGACATTCTTTTTGCATTATTGGAACACCAATTCTTAGAAGTCCAGATTAACATGAAGCTTTCTAATTTTATTCAAATTAACCAAATTTATAGTTAATAAATTAAAATAGTTTTCATCAAAAAAAGAATCATTTGACCCGAGACATAAGAATTTTAAAAAATAGTTTAGGATCTTGAAGAAAATTACTTCTTCTGATAAACTGAGAATATAGCTAAAAATTCAAATACTTCTTCCTAGGGCAGACTTTTTAAAAATTATAAATGACATACA